TTGCTTGTACCCATACTTGAGTGAATAAAAGCAGGATGAGCCAGACACTTGGGGCTACTTTGCCCACTAGAGGCAAGAGCTCCCTGGCTGTCTGCATGCTAAGCTAACTCTGTCTTTCATCTTCATTTGCCCTGAATCAGAGTGATAAACTAGCAGGACTAGGTTCCTGCAAGTGGCACTTGTCTGGGGAAAGACTGGGGTGGGCTGATTTCCCCACAGGTGGCATCTGGTAGGGAACTGAGGCCAGTGTAGACCGATTTGCTACATCTTCCTATCTCTATTGCTATGAAAACGCTTTGGCTTGAATTAAAGTTTGTAATGAAGAACCTACCTCCAGTTTTTATATTTGATCACAGACAGCTTTCAATTTCTGCTCTCCCTGTTCCTTCACACACAAACCAGCAAGAAAGCTCCCAGTGCTCCCTCCTTTGACAAGTTTAAATCTTGCTAGCCCTAACCTGTTCAAGAAAACTTACACCAGCCCTCTACACTAACCACTTCCTAGTATCTTTAGGTCTGTTATTTTGGTCAGTGCCATTCTAGAAAGATCCTAGGCCTGTAACTTGGCTGCCAGGGCTGATGGGCCATGGATGAGTGAGTGAATGCACATCTACAAATATAGAATGGAAATTTGCCTGGGTTGGTGACCCTGGATTGCAGGAGTCTTCCTGCTTCTAACATGAGTGGATAGGACAACTATCTTGAGAGAAGACTTAGAGAGCCCCTTTCATGGAATCCCCTGCTGAGCCACATATTCTTTATATTATTCCTTGGGGTCCCTGAAAATGTGCAGAAAGGCCACGGGGGTAGCTGCAGCTACTCCAAAAACCCTGCTGCTGTGTCTATTGATTTTTTTTTCTCTCTCCAGCTGATCTGATTTTATCCTAGGAAATGTTATGAGTTGTCAGGGGAACAACAACAAAAACTACATATCCACTCTGGTTTAAAGCTTTGGGTCATAATGTTTGACTTTTTCAGAAAACAAAACAAAACAAACACAAAACCTATCTCTGTGATAACTTCCCCATTCTGTTTACTGCTTCTTTTCCTAAATTCGCCTTCAGGTGTATGGTGAGAGAAGGGCTTGGGTGATCTCATAGCTTTGAAAAACAGGTTCTTCAAGGCCACATGATGTCCTTGCACAATCAGAAATACTCCTAGAGCATTAAAAGACACTGTCAAGAGATAGAAAAGGAAGCCCAGAGAATAAAACACTTGCAAATCATATCTGATAAAGAATTAATGTCCAGAATATATAAGGAACTCCTATGACTAAGAAAAAAAATCGCAAACATGATTTAAAACTAGGCAAAGGGGACATTTTGGTCTTTGTCCGCGGGTTGGTACGGCATCTCGGTACATGCGACGCGAAAGCAGGAGGGCCACGTCCTTGTGCATCTCTGGAAAGTACACCTTTCTCATCCTTCAGATGGCCCAGAGGCCCCAGAGGGCTCCTTCTGAATTCTAGAATGGTACTTTGGTCACAGCAATAACAGTTTAGTGCTGTGTCATTTTCCCCAGTAGCAGGTTTTAAAGAGACCAAAATGGATACAATCTTCCATTGAAGAAGACAAACTGGATGGTGGAGAAAAAAATGGAAAGAGTCTGTCTAGAATAATCCTGAGAAAACAATGAACAGATGAAGAGACATGAAGACTTGGGAGGCAAGTTGCATCCTTCTCTAATAAACACTGATGGGAAAAAACAGTGACTATAAGAAAATTAGAAAAATCCTTCCTTTTCTCACAGACCTTATTTCTCTTAAGGCAATACCTTTTTGAAATTTTGATTTGGAAAGATAATTTAGACTTAATTATGAGGAAAGCTGTGTAGAAATGAATCAGCAATTTTATTAATTTGGAAGTCCCCTACCAGGGTTTACTCCTTGTGATAATAGCCCCTTGTAAGTCTGTGGAAATCCCTTTGTACCCTGTCAGATAGCAGAGCATTCCTCATTGGAGAGAAATCCTATGAATTTACTGAATGTGGGTAAACATTTATTCACATGTCTCACTAAACTGAGAAGTCATGCTGAAGAGACACCCTGTGCTTCTAAGGAATATTGAAAAGCCATTAGCTAGGTGACATCTCATTGAGCAAGAGAAATTCATGTTGGAGAAAAACCAGTGAACATAGCATACTGTCACTAAATATTAGAATTTTATACTACAGAGAAAGCTTTGAGTGTGCTATGTGCATGAGCATTTTCATACTAGAAAGAAACCTTTTGAATGTAATGAATGGGGGAAAAATAAACATCAGAACACTCATGCTGTAGAGAAACTTTTTGAATGTAATGATTGTGGAAAGTCTTTCAGCCAGAAGGAGAACCTCCTTACCCGTCAGAAAATTCACACTGGAAAGAAAGCTTTTGAGTGGAAAGATTGTGGGAAAGCTTTCATACAGGAGTCAAACCTCATTAGACACCAGAGAACTCACACCGGAGAGAAGCCCTTCATATGTAAACAGTGTGGGAGATGAGGAATTATTCGGAAGTAATTTGTTCTCCAAGGATAGAGAATGGACCATGGATTACACAGAAAAGTAAAACTCACAGTAATTGAAGACAATTATTAAAAGCTAGTACACTAAAAATGTTTATGACCTTAGGAGCAGGAAAACATTCCTTGTAACAAGTTGAAAAATACATAATTAGTTTTACTACGTGTATGCTCAGGAAATACCAGGAATTTCTCTCTGGCTGAATGTGTAGTAGCCAGATATTGGAAACAATTCAAATATCCATCTAGAATAAAATGGAAAGTTCTTATGATGTAATAGTACACGTATATCTATAAAAGTGCAACAGACGAGAGCCACATGTTCATGGAAGTACCTAAAAAAAGGTTGAAGGAAAAAAGTTGGAGAATGATGCATACAGTACAATGACTTTGTAAATTTGAATTATAAACATTTCCTTGATGAAGTTCAACACTTTATATCGCTAATGGATACACATACATATGTAAATGTTTTTGAAATCGATTGGAAGGATACAGACCAGACTTTTGAGGGTGGCCTGTGAAGAGTGGAGAGGGATGGGAGTGAGTGTGGGAGGAGGGGGAGAGGAGGGGCTTCATCTTTTTATATAAACATCTATTTCTCTGGAAGTAAATATATGAAGATACTCACTAATTCTGCATTGTGGTATATGGATATCTTGTCTTATTTTTTGTACTTTTCTGTATTTTTAAAATGTCACAAAATTAAAAGAATAGGGTGATAAAATTCTGTACCTGTAGAAGTCACACTATAATAAATAATTCCCAATCAAATACTCAACTTTTTATAGAAATTATTTCTAAAAATTTTATCAACAATGCGTGGATGGACTTACTCTCTATGTAATATGAAATTATCTATTTTATTACAATTTAAGACGACAAAAAATAGGCTAAGGACTTGAAAAGACATTTTTCTAAACTATACACAAGTGGCCAATATGATCCTTGACATAAATAATCATTAGGGAAATTCAAACCAAACCTAACTGAAAATATACCACTCATTAGTATGGCTATTATTAAAAAGAAAGAAAAAAGAAAGGAAGAAAACAACAAGCACTGGTAAGGATGAGAAGAAATGGGAACATATATGCACTGTTCAAGGGAATAAAAAATGGTTCAGCCACTGTGGAAAACAGTACGGCAGGTAATAAAAAATAAACGAAATTTCATATAATCTAACAATCCCACTCTAGGTATATACTCAAAATAATTTAAAACAGGGACTCGAACAGGTATTTGTACACAAAAATTCATACCAGTGTACAGATATGTTAACACTGGTGTAATGTTAGTACACTAATATTCTTACTATTGTAAATAACTTTTCCTATTATTCACAGCAGGCAAAAGTTAGAAACAATCCAAACGTCCAACAGCAGATGAATGGATAAACAAAATGTGATCTATACATATAATGATATATTATTAAGCCTTAAAAAGGAATGAAGCTGGGCATGGTGATGCATGCCTATAATTCCAGCCACTCTGGAGGCTGAAGCAGGAAGATCACAAGTTCAAGGCCAGCCTGGGAATGTAGTGAGACTGTCTAAAAAATAAAAAGACTGGGGATGTAGCTCACTGCTCTCTGGGTTGGATCCTCAGTACTGGGATTAAAACAAACAAAAAAACCTGACACATGAACTTGGAACGCTTTAAAAAAAATAAATCAAACACAAAAGGACAAATATTGTATGATTCCACTCAGATGAGGTACCTATAGTAGTTGAATTCCCCCCGCCCCTTTGGTCTTTTTGAGACAGGGTCTCACTACACAGTTCAGGCTGGCCTCGAATTTGCTGTGATCCTCCTGCCTCAGCCTCCCAAATGCTGTGATTACAGGCCTGCGCCACCACGCCCAGCCAATGAATTCGTTTTTAAGCACCGAAAATTATGGGTTTGTTTCTTAAAATGTGGAAGCGTCCCTGTTTCCTTCTAGTCTCCAAAGGAGCCCAATGCATTAATTTTTCGCCACGCAGATGAACGCCAAGCCTGCGCCACCGGCGCTCCCTCCGTAACTGACGGCGGGGGAAATCCCCGGCAGGCGCGTACATCCACCCTTCCCCCCATCACGCTAGACTGAGTTGGCTAAACCCTGTGGGAATGGCTGCGGCTTCAGCCAATGGACGAAGCCGGAGCAAAAGCCTGTGTAAACAAACCGGAGGAGCTGAGCCTGAGGCTCCTCCCTCACGTGGCAGCCAGACAAGTCCTTAGCCCAGAGCCCATCCAGGACCAGAGCAGCGCCCTTTCGGTCAATCAGAGCCCGGATCTCCAGTAAGTAAGCTTTCCACCCCAGGGAAAGAACGTAAGGAGCGAAAGGACAGACGTTAGGACCAATCACACGCTGGACCTCTGAGGCAGTAGGCGGACACTGCTTCACATTGACACCAATGAAAATCACATATGCGCGACTAAGGTGACTGAGTGGCAGCTTCCTCGGCCCAATAGACGAACGGGGCGGTGCCCAGCAACCAATGGCTTGGGTTCGGGGGCGGGGTGAGAAGCCTGTGTGCGGTGAGAGGGAGCTTAGTGGCGCTTCTCCGGTGCTGTGGCTCACGTTTTGGTACTAAAGGCCGAGACTGTCCTGGCGTCGACAGCGTCTGCGGCGAAGGCTCAGGCTCTCGGAGAGTGGTAGAGTACGGTCCAGAAACGGAGCTTCTGGTCAACCCAGGTGGACTCGGACGCCGGGACCTGCGAATCGAAGGGCGCCCCGCGCCCCCTCTTCATCCCCATCGAGACAGTGAAGGGGTGGCGCGCGCCCGCCCCACCGCCTGCAGGGCGAGGGAGTCCTCGGGGTCCCCCGGCGCGACGGCGGGCGAGGAGGTGCGTCAGCTCTGGTCACCCGCCCCGTGGGAGTTGTGCGGGTTCTCGGCCCCTGTTTCTCTGGACAGGTGCCCCCGCCGCACCCCCAGCCCTGGAGTCCTGTCCAGCCCTTGTTCGCGTAGGAGCGGATCCCGGGCTGTGGATCCTCAGCGCTGCGCCGCAGCCCTGCTGGGCGGACCGGGCAGCCGCACACCCGCCCGCCTCGCCCTCCCGGCGGGGAAGGGGCGCGCCCCCGTGGGCGTCCCGGGCGTCCTCCGCGTTTCTGCAGCCCCTCCGCCTCCCTCTGTCGCCAGCCCTCCTCCCGCGGACCTCACCCGGAGACTCTGCTCGCTTTCCCGCCGTGTCTCCAGCGGCGGAGTCCTTCGCCCTGAGCATTTCACCCGGTCCCCTGCCTCTCATCCTCATCTTCCTTAGAAACTAACATTTTCCACTTGCTTCTTCCAGGCGGTTGCAGGGCGGACGGAAGACGGACGGAAGAATTTGAGAGAGTCGGACCGCACCGAGCAGGGAGCTTCGCAAGGTCGGGAACTTCCATCGGTTCTGTTGGTGTCAACTATTTTTACCTCCCTTAGGAGGACGTTTCATCGTTATACCCTTCTAGAATCTTTGTCCCAGCACAGTTCTCGTACTGATAAACGCTGAAAATGTGGGTAGGAAGAGTTTACCGGCAACAACAGATTTCAAATTTTATTATTTTTTTTAAGCGGGTAACATTGGGTTATACTTTAAGGAGCTTAAAGAGTCAGAGGTTCCACTATAAGTAAGGGCCTGGCCATGCTAGATTGTCATAAAATATAGGACATACTTCAGCTGTAATACAGCACGATGTGATTTAATCACACCCAATTTTGGAGTGGATAATAACAGCACTGAATATATTTTAAAATGATATTTCTCTTTTCACACAGAGTTTGTATTTACCTCCATAGTATAGCCATTTGGTTTGCAGTAGTGTGGATTCTAGCCATATGTTTCTCGGTAATAGTTCACACCTAAATACACTTTTTTGCGGCAGAGCTGAGAATTGAACCCAGGGCCTCAAGAGTGGTAGACAAATATTTTTACCACTGAGCTGTATCCCCAACTTCCTAAATAGAATTATGTAAAGAATCTTATGGAGGAAAGTAACACACTACTGCTAGTTTTGATTGAAATTTTGGAGGTTTGGAAACATTTTTAATTTAGATATTGAATAGTGAGTTTTCTTTTGGAAGTTGGAAAAAATTAAAATACAAGAGTAAGATTGATAGACCCCTTATGCTCTGTATGTATGAGAGAGAGAGAAAGAGGCAGAGACAGAATATACACACATACAAAACCTTGTACATTCTCACAGTACTTAGGTTTCGTGAGTTTACATAAACTAGAATTTTTTTCTCGTTCTCAGTAGAGAAATATAAACTGAGTTTAACAGGTTCACTATGTTTTGGATAGGATTTTGGAAGCTTTTTGTGAAAAGAGTATTGTTTTTCTTATCTACCTTCTAACATATATATCAATATGCTTCCATATGTTTAGATTTTACTTTGTGTATATACAAGTAAGTCTATTAGAGAGTGAATTAAAAGGAATCTTTTACTCTGAGGTGACAACATTGTCTAATGGACCATATGTTTGAGCCCGGTTAATAAATTGTACTAAAGGGGCTGGGGATTTAGCTCAGTGGTACTGCACCTGCCTGGCAAGCATGAGGTCCTAAGTTTGATTCCCAGTACCAAAAAAAAAAAAGAAAATTGTACTAAAAAGAACAAGGGTTTAAAAAACTATCCTTAAAAAAATGCCTAAGTATCTAGAATAATAATAATAATTTGTGACAGAGTTATAGCAGTCATCAGAGAAAAATCCTGGACAGGTTTCAGATGTCTTGAATTTTTCACACATATCCAAGTGGGCTGGTAAATTGATATAGGGTTGGACTTGAAAACCAGTTTTTTGTATAGCCTTTTCAGGTATATTTGCATTTAGTAATTACTTGTTTGCAAGTTTAGAGGGCTAGAGCTGTGGTTTCTTTTGGGACTTTGACCTTGACAATCTCACTGTTTAGTGGAGGACAGACCTATAAACCAAAAATTAAATGTATGCAGAGAGAGGTTCTGTAGTTTGGTTGTATACAGGGTATTCTGGCTTCATCTCCTACTGCTCTAGACTTACTGAGTGCCAGTGTCTGAATTTACCTGTCTCATGTGGATTATAAACTTAAATCTTAGTACATGCCTTTTTCTTTACGTATTTACAACAGAAGTGAAGTTCAGAAGTGTTAAGTGATTTGTCTGGGGCCACCATTCATGCCAGAGTTAGGATTCAAACCCTGTCCTTTTGGCCCCAAAGCTAGAGAGCTTCTAGCCTTACACTTCACTGCCCCCTACTGTCTCTGTCCTCTGATCATCGGTTGAGAATTGAACCAAGAAGGCCTGGCATTGCCTTATTCCACCTTGGTTTGGGACATATGCAAGGGGCAATAGATTTTTTGCCACTATAATGCATATCCACAAGTGACCTCAAAAACGCAATATGAGGGGCTGAGGATTTAGCTCAGCGGCACAGCACTTGCCTGGCAAGCACGAGGTCATAAGTTCGATTCCTGGTAGGGGGGCGGGTGGCACGAAAAACTCAACATGTGTTTTGGGGTTACACATAAATTTTAGCAAATAGGTGAATTTGTAAATATGAGATCCACAAATAATGAGGATCAGCTGTACTTTTAAGTGACCCATTGAGTCATTTTCATGGTTATACCCCCCTCATCCTCAGGAGAATGTTTCTTTTGCTTCTTTGATAATTTATTCACTTATTTATTCAACAGATACTGATTGAACACTTACTGTAAGTCAAGCTAGAGATTAAAGTCTTGTTTGATGGATTTTTTTTTGTTAGTGGTGGTACTAGGGATTGAACTCAGACCCTTCACACTGAGCTATATCCCATGCCCTTTTATTTTTTATTTTTCTATTTTTGGTACCAGGAATCTAACTCATGACCTCAGGCTTGCCAGGCAAGCTCTTATGCCGCTGAGCTATATCCCCTGCCCATCCCATGCCCTTTTAAAAAACTTTTTATTTTTAATTTTGAGAAAGGGTCTAAGTTGCTGAGTTGCCTGGGCTGGGCTTCAATTTTATTTTATTTATTTTTTGTTTTTTGAGACAGGGTCTTGTTATGTAACTCAAGGGTGGCCTTGAACTCACTATGTAGCCCAGGCTGTTCTCAAACTCATAGCGATTCTGCCTCAGTCTCCTAAGTGCTAGGATTACAGGCCTAGTGTTGGCTCTCATATTGGAATAAGAAAGACAACTAAGCTTGGTTCAATTGAAATTACAGATTAATTTGACCAGGGTGAAACCTTTTGTACCCCTTCCACTTTGCATCTCCAAGGGTAATTCCAGAACATTTCTGTTCCATTCTTTTGCATAAACTCTTCCCCATGAGCCCCTCTCATTGACCTCTGTTAACCTCTACTTGTCATTTGTTAATTTTGAAACCATTTGCCCATTTAACTGGTAGGATTTTGTAGAAGATCTATGTTGACCTGAATTCTTTGAATTCTGGCTCTGCCATCTACCATGCAAGTGACTTTAGTCAGGCTTTTGGACTTTTGAACCTGTTTTCTAATTTTAAAAGTGTTTTAAAAGTGGTATGTTGGACACTTGAGAGTTTTAAGCATAGGCCTTCACGCATATTGCTTTTAGTGATGAAGGGTGAATGAACAAGAAATCATTTTGGCATCCATATTGTCTCTTGGCTTTCTTGCTTGCAAAACTTCATAGAAAAATAATTTAGCAGTATTTAGGGTAGGATTTGACATCTAGACACGTATTTTCTTTTACTTTGTCCACCAATGTTTACATTTTCCTAAGAGAATACTCTCTTAGGAACGATCTGTTATATTCTAAAGTGGAGGACCTCTGCTGGGCAAAGAAAATTTTTAAAAAATATTTTGAGAGAGGATCTCTCACTGAGTTGCCCAGGCTGACCTCAAGCTTGCAGTCCTCCTGCTTCAGCCTCTTGAATAGCTGAAATAGGGCAAGATTTTAGGCCAAGGCGTGTGTTTGGTTATTGATCTCCTTCAAATTCATTTTATACATTGTCCTTAGCTGAGGCACTGATCCCTAGACTGTATTCTTATATCCAAAGCAGTCTAGTTGGTTTCATGCATTATCTGTCTCACAGACAGTAGACTACATAAAAAGAACTCCTTGAAGACAGTTTCTTCAGAAGATAAAGGGTAGCAGTCCTAGAGTTTTGTGCACTTTATAATTCAAATACATATCTAACATGATCAGAGGTAATATTTAATAAACTAGCAAAATGATGGACATACCAGATATTGGGAACATCTTCCTCTTGCATTTAGTAGTATTGTGAATAGTTGTTCTTATGACTGTTTTCTGTACTATATTATAAGCTCCATGAGGGCAGCAGCGTCCAGAGCTTCATCTCTGTTTTCTTTTTTCAGTATTGGACCTTTACACTGATTACATCCCAGTCCTTTTCTATTTTTTTATTTTGAGACAAGGTCTCACAAAATCACTAAGTGCTGGGGCTGGGCTCAAACTTGCAATCTTCCTGCCTCAGCCTCCCAGAGTGCTGGGATTACAGGTGTGCATCACTATCTCTCTATCCTTGGCCCTTACTTCAGCACTTGATGTGTAGTAATAGATACACAGGTATCTGATTTGAGGAATCCTCAACTTTTCTTACAAGGATAGGGAGGGTGAGTTTGAAGGTTTCCCAGACAAGTTATTATTTAACTGATCCCCCATTCACATACACGCACATACACACACACCCTTGCTGGGCATTAAATATAGGGCCTCTCTCTTGCTAATCACTTGCTCTATGGCTGAGCTACAACCCTGGCCCCTAAGCTGATCCTTAAATGTTGAGCAAGAATATTTTCTAGGTAAATGAAATCTTGAGGTACCATTTCAAGGACAAACCAGCAAGTGCAAAAGTACAGATATAAAAATGTGATAAAGTTTGCTGAATATTCCCTGTAGGTTGAAAAAACAAATTCAAAAATCAAACAGTCAAAAATCACAAGCTCACAAATGGGCTTGGCCAGAGACCATGTCCCAAATGAATTAACTATGACCTTAGCTACTCAATAATGGGTACAAGTTTTATGAGGAGAGCTTAACATTCTCAGGTTGTTGGCCATGTCTGTAATGATTTAGTAACACACATAGTGAATTCTGGTAATCATTACAAGGTAGTGAGATCATTTACTTCAGTATGTATGAATCTTCTTTCTGTCATACACTGTTCAAGATACTGAAAATGTAATCCAACTTTTTCTAAAGGAGCTCACAAGCAAGCAAGGGAGATAGATGGATGAACAACTGATTTATCATGTGATAAGTGAGGTGATAGAGATAAGAATAAAATTCTATCTAAATCAGCAGAACAGAGCTGTTCGGAATATAGGGAGTGCTAAGAAATATTTTTCAAAAGAAGTAATATTTGAGCACTCTGAAGCACTATATCAATATAAGACAGACTAAAGGAATGTAATGTAGTTTGAGT